GTCAGACGAACTCGACTGGCCCAGTCAGCACATCATTTTGTTGTCAACCTTGAAATATGTCGAACAACATTTTACCAAAAGGCAAAGCTTTCGAATTCTTTGCCAATGTAAGTATTCCCAAGACCTTATATAACCTCCAGAAGTTAAAAAAAAATCCAACACCTACCCCCTCTCCCTATCCTCCCAAGAGATAAAAAATAATAATAAAGTATATTGAAAAATAGTACATTATACATCAAGGGACAGAAATGCAAGATCTTTTCCAAAGTGCAATTTGTAGCTCGAGGGCGAAGCCCGAGAGATACAAAGCACCGAGGGAAAAATAGCATTCTGTCCTGAAGTGAATATACTATTTTTTTAAGCTGGGGAAAACACAAGAATTAAGAAAGAATAAAAATTTTGTCAAAAAATTTTGTCATAATAATTAGTAGTAGTGACAGTGACAGAAGTTGTCGAAAGAATGTGAGCTACAAGTTTTTTTTTTTAATTGATCTTGAATGTACCAGTTTATTCATACTCATCACTCATCAGATGTTAGTAATGAATACCATGTTCCATCTACGAGTGTCCCGAAATTACATATGAAGATTTCAACCACAGATTCTAGGAACGAAAATAGTGAAGAAAGTTTACATAAACATGAGATCAGAAATGGCCCCCTTATATATAGAGCAATTTGAACATTATAGGGATTCCCTTTCGTGCGCTCCAAGCGATAAAAAAAAAGAGTCGGAGATGGATTTTTGTGAATATTTCCGCAACCCTCAATGATAAAATAACATGCCTTTAATTTTTTGAATAAATAACAGATCAATCCGTGATGAATCGAAAATGGGACACCCGGTATATAGGCAGTGTGTTCATTTAAGTGTGCGGAATATGGGAATCTTTTTGAAGAATTGCACAACCAAAATACAGATAGTGCCGAAAGTTGGTGCATGTTCGGTAATCATTTGAGGTGCACTTAGAATGGTTGCAAATCAAACAGCATACATGGTAAGTCAAAAAATAAAAAATTGTTCAAGAGTAAAGTGCTCTTATTTCAGAAAATTCTGTCAAATTTTATTTAGAAAGAGTGTTAACAATTTAAAGTTATGCCTAGATACCAAAGCATGGCCTCCTAAGACAATTTTTAGTTCTTCAATTCTTATCGTCAATAATTTCCCAATTTGTAATTTTTTTTATTTTCACAAAATCAGTTGAAAATACCTTTGTTCAAATTCAAGAATATTTGTGCAATCAACTTGGACTTGAACTTTTCTGAGGAATCACAAACTTTGTTTGTTGCAACTATATTCAGCTAAACTTTAAAATTTCGCAAATCATATTCTCAACAAGGTAAAACATCATTAGATGGGAAGTTAATGTCACCAAACTGTCTTAATATTCACTGTCAATCCTCAGTTTTTGTTTTGTTCCATAGGTATTCGTGATTATTTTCAATGATATCATGGTTGTCGATTGATTTGTACAGCTTTTTCATGAACATTTCACATACAAAATGTTCACATTGAATGAAAGTTTTTGAATTAGCAAATTATCATTAATGATGTTTTACCTTGTTAAAAATATGGTTTGCGAAACTTTAAAGTTAAGCTTAATATCGTAGCAACAAACATAAAGTTTGTGATTCTCTAAAAAAAGGGTACTGTACTCTTGAGCAATTTTTATATTTTTTTTAATAAAAAACTATCAATTTATGAGAACTTTATCACCCTGTATCTCGAAAGTTAGGACTTTTAGGTCATACGTTCATATGGAACTTTCTTTTTAGAATGAACCCAAGAATCGCCTCCCCAAATATTGACATCCAATTATGAAGCACCCTGTATATCTTGGGACCGCGCGGGAGGAAATTGTTATACCTTTGCCTATTGGATATATAGATAGCTATTTTCCTTTTGTTGACATAATCTGATGCTTCAAGAAAAACCTTACAGCTATTGCTTTTGAAATTTTTTGCCACCTACTAGGTATAAATTAACTTTATATAAAATTTACTTGATCACCCTGTAGAAGTGCCAATGGCTTATCGAGTGTAACAGACGAAATGAAGTGACTGTCCTGACCTTGCCTTTCAGATAACCGGAAGTGACTAAGAGTAATATTCGAGGATCAAGTATATAGGAAGAGTTAGAAACGGTTGAGAAGTGAACGGCTCCTATAGTCCCAATGCAAAATCACTGAACCCGGATTTATGATTAGATCGTGAAATCGGGGGCAATTCGACCGTGCTCAAGATAATCTCTAATTAAACTTTGTATGAAATCGAATCAGACCATAACTGGTTCACAAGGAAGATGCGAAATATGGAAATTTATCGCTTTTGCTCTAGCAAAAAATGCCAATAAACGGAGCATATTGTCCAAAAATTCAAGCAGTTATTATCGAGGTTATTATGCTGAATTAAGTATACAGTGTGTCCCACTTACCATGCTCACCATGGGTATCTTTTTAACGGTGAGAGATACGAGGTCGGTTAAAAGACGCCAAATGTGGAGTTTGTCAAGGCCTACTATGATGTGAAAAAATATTGTGATAAAATCTATTCGTGTTTGTTTTATACGCAAAAAACAGATTTTGATCATTTTCATGTCTCCTCCATAACTTCTTCATTTATGAAAATATTCAAATAGGAATTTCACATCCTCATGGTAGTTTTTCAAACTGATTTCGAAAAAAATATAAAATTTATACCAACTCTTCTAGAATTTGAGATATCAGCACCAACTTTAGTTTTTCAAGTTAATCGGAGTTATGGAGTTTTTGTTGAAATTTAAAAAAATGGCTGCTCCAAGATGGCGGACAAGATTTGGTCCGATTCCATTCAAAATTGGTAAGTGGGGGTTTTTGAGGTCGGAGATCATGATTTTTTTGTTAAAATTTATAAATTCAGGATGGCGGCTTCCAAATAATTTTTTGTTTCTGTATAAATGACGATAACTCCGTTGTTATCAACACAAAACTATTTCTGCGACATATCATCTGTGAGAGAAAAAAAAGTTGTTTGTAACTAAGTCATAGTGAGCTATGACCTACATTTGAAAAACTAAAGTTGGTGCTGATATCTCAAATTCTAGAAAAGTTGGTATAAATTATAATTATAATAAAGAAGTTACGGAGGAGAAATGAAAATGATCAAAATCTGTTTTTTGCGTATAAAACAAAAACGAATAGATTTTATCAAAATATTTTTTCACATTATAGTTGGCCTTGACAAACTCCACATTTGGTGTCATTTAACCGACCTCGTATCTCTCACCGTTAAAAAGATACCCATGGTGAGCATGGTAAGTGGGACACACTGTATATACAGGGTGTTTCAGACTTAAATGTACATAGGATACTTGCAGATAGAGGACACTTTGACGGTTTCAAATTACCCCCCATTGATGTGTGTTCCGTCATTTATAACTGAGACGTTATCTTGATTTTGGCAAAATCTTCATCTTGTCATAATTTTTGAATCACGTTTTATAATCTATTCATACTTGGTAGAAATATTCCACTTATATTACACATCAAAGCTAAATAAAACTGTAGATCAGAATTAATGTTCGTCTTAAGGAAAAACAGAGAACTTCTTTAGTTCAAAAACAACACTCTGTGTGTCAAAATTTTGTGGATCTGTTTTGATATTTGAAAAGAGCATCCAATTTGACAGATGGTTTATTATTATGTTTTGAAATATTCACCCCATTCGGAGGCATTTTTATTGAACTGCAATTCAAAATCCAATTTGGATACAAAAAAAAAATAATAGGCTTCAGAGTTGAACTTCATTAGAGTCATAACACGTGAACTATTGATAGATTTGTTCGTTTGACAGAATAGCTTGCCACTATTCAATCATAAGCTGCGGTGAACTAGGCTGTGCAAAAAATTTCGAATGTTCAGGCATAATTATAAACACTTTGAAATGTACCAACCCAATATACAGGCACCAACAACTATCTCAACGTTACCAATTATATCAAACTAGTAATTATGAACAGTCAGAAAATCAGATGTTTTTGCACAGCCTACTTTACCGCACCTAATGAATTAATAGTGAAGAATAAATTGAGCCCTCAAAAATCTTTAAAACATCAGACATTATTTTGTCGAACCAACAGATCTATCTATTTGACTCCCATGATGTTGAACTTCGAAGACTGTAATTATTTCGTAAAAAGATTGGGTTTTAGATTACGAGTTCAATAAAAATAACTCAAAATGGAGCCGAGTATATCAGAAAATAATAATGAAACATCTTTCAAATCGGATACGCTGTCGTAACAGGTAGGTCACTTCATTCGTTTTTCCCTGCTCTTTTCAAATATCGATACAGATCTACAAAGTTTTGTCATATGGAGTGTTGTTTCTGAAATAAAAGAAGTTTTCTGTTTTTCCTCAAGACGGACCTAGATTCTGATCCCGATTTTCATTTGATTTTGATGGGTAATATAAGTGAAATATTACTACCAAGTATGGATAGATTATACAAAGTGGTTCAAAAGGTATGACCAGATGATGATTTTGCCAAAATCAAGATAACGCCCTGTATCTCAGTTATAAAAGACGGTAGACAAATCAATGGAGGGTGATTTGGACCCATCAAAGTTTCCTCTATCTACAGGTATTGTATGTACATACATTCTAATAAAGGTTGTGGAGCTTATTTTGGGTTTCCATCTATTATTCATACTTACGACAAAAAAATAGTGTTCTATAGTGTTCTATAAAATTTTGATAATTGAGTTTCAATATACTCCCATTTTAAATAGAAGTCGTACATCGACATCTATTAGAATGCGATTTTCAATTGTTTATTGTCATCGAACTGTCAATGCTTATTGTAAGATAGTGTACAACATACTGTGGACAAACAAAAACGTCAGAACAGAAACGTCAAATGCATTGAGAAACCCTATAACATAACCTAACCCCCAAAGAACCTTCCTGGTGATATCATCCACAATCAACAAGTCACAATAAAATTGAAACTCACTTATTTTGAATCGAAAATATATTGTCAAGTCATGGGAGATGCACATCAGACAAAGCAGATGAATTACGCGAAGCAATTTCAATACAATTCTCAACAATGCTTTACGTATTCTTCGAGCAAATTTAAACTGACAAAAGGCCCTACCACAGTCAGCCAAGATATAACGGGATTCTTACTGCAACAAAAAATGCCATCAAAATTCAATTAGTCACGACAAGTAGGATATCACCTGGTCGCCAGAAACGTCTGTAAAATTTCCTGGGTCTTGCAAGGATGGAGGCTCAGAAAAGGTTTACATAGTACAGGATGATCCTGAGAAGATTGGAAAATAAGGTTTCGACATAAACATACATATCAGTGGATGCTTCTCGATGCTTCTTGTATGTGTGGAAAATAATGTGAGTGTATGATGGTTTGCGATCAGCTGATCAGCAAAAGACCAATAATTACAGATTACAGTCCCTAGATGCAAACTGACATATTTGTCATTTCAACAGGGTACAGACGGATTCCGATCTCCTCCCACCCTTGAGTGTTTGTGTAGTTCCATCCTTATCCAATTTTGGTGATGAACACTAGATTTCTGACATTTGTTGTTTTTTAGGTTATATTGAGGACATATTATTATCATCATACGTAATTTTGACATGCGACGGAATTATATCCAAATGAGAATCAATCACTAGATGATTAAAAGAGAAAGGAGCTATGATCTGTCCGTACCCTGTTGAGATGACAAATACGTCAATTTACATCAAGGGACCTCATGTACCAGCTAGAATTTACCCCCCTGTAAAAACTTAACCGCGTGATCGAATGACTTGAAATTTGGTCTCCCAGTATATTTGATCATTCTCACTCGCAGTATACTATTAAATGAATCGTATATATACATGGTCATACCGAAGTGCACCTAAACACTCTTATTTCAACAGGGACACCCAGTACATTATTCCATATTCAAGTATATAAGCTCATCATCACAAATTCAACAACTGGGTTTGATGGTATTTTTTACAACGACTACGAAGATATGACAAATGATAAAACGAATCAATTGAACATACATTTGTGATATTCTGTTTCATTTCTTCCATATTCACAATTGGCGACTCATAAACCCACGAGCATAGCTGCACAAAATAATATTCACTATTTCATTTTATTATTGGATAAGTATCTGGTTAATCTGTGGTATCAACATATCGATATTTCTTCCCCCTCCATTATTCAAATAGTTCTATTATCTTCGAAGTTGAAAAAATCATATCGAACCCATTTTTGTTGAAATGGCTCTACTTGAACATGGAATGATATACTGTGTGTCCCTATTCCAATAAGAAAGTTTAGGTGCACTTCAGTGTGACTCTGTACACATATACGATTAATTCAATAGCATATTTCGGGTAAGCTACATCAAATGACCAAATTTCAAGTCATTCTATAGTGCGGTTAATTTTTCACAGGTGGGGACATTTCAGATGGGACACGGTGTATATACGATTGAGAACTACTTATGTATTGAGAATGAAAATTACTCACCATTTGAGTCAAAGTTTCATACATATTGGAATCTCCAAACGCCATATTACTTTTCCAATACCCTTCTAGAGTCAACAGGGATCCATCTGAAAAAACTGATAGTTATCACAGTCTCAAACTACATACTATCTGTAGGTAAATCAAGGAGGAGGTACATACATTCATTATTCCAGATTTTTTTGTTGGAATTTTATCCTCGTCATCATAAAAAAAATATATGAATACCATTCCAATATACCTACGTATAGTTAGGACAAGGTTTGGAGAAGAGTAATAAAGGTATATAGAGAAAATATATAGTTATTTATTATACAAGGGAAAAAAGTAGTAGATTTTAGCTCCAGGTTGTGTTGTCTCCCGACGCGTAGCGGAGGGAGACAACAAACCGTGAGCTAAAATCTATTATTTTTCCCGTGTATAATACACTATTTTTTTCTGTGACAGAAGAAAGGACGAATCAATATTGAGAAGATATTACATTATTTTGATATCTGAAAATTATCGACGTGAAATTTTAAGTTTTTAACAGTAGGGACACCGCATTGTAGACATCTTTATCATTCATTTGAAGTAATCAAATATTTGATGTCACTTCTGTCAGTCTAATTTTGTGATTTTATTTCAAGAAATTGCGAATTCAGTGGTTATTTAGCAATACACGTAACCGCGAAGTCGAATGGAAGATAAAAGGACTTGCAGTTCTTTCTCGGAGACGGTATTATTGACTCATTTTTCGGAACTATAGCACAACAAAAGCCATCAACAGTGTATATATATGTGATATATATCCGGGAAAGAAGTACTCACTTTTTTCCCACGGGAAAAAAGTAATTTATGAAAAGTGACATTTTATAACCTGCCAACAGGGATGAAATGCCAAACTTTTTTCCCGTCACAGAAAAAAAATGTTTACTTATCTTTGGACGTTTCGAAAACGAATCTGTTCCCGTTTTCAACATGAAAAATGGATTTTTTGTATTGCATTCTTCTGAACGGAAACAATAGCATTGCTTCCTGTTCAGTTGATATAGATAGAACATGGTATTCACTACTGAAATCTGAGAATGAAAATGGTAAATTCAAGATTAATTCGCTACCTCAATGCAACAAATAGGCATCTATGATTTAATAGTTCTGAGATAAATCGAATTGAATATTTACAGTCTACAATAACGGTTGTGGCAACTTAGACTCATGAGGTGTAGATTCAATATTTTTTTCTCTGATTCAATGATTCTTCCAGACTTTTTATGTAGATGTAGGAATTTTTTTCGAGTTATGTAATACATGTTAAAAAAAAATTCTTCATGTTATCTACTTGTTGCATTGAATAAGTTTGATGAGTTATAGTTACCCATATACAAGTATGGTCTTTAGACCCATAAAAATGTATGATATTGATACTAGACAGCCTCAGGAATGAATTTATTCGAGTAAATACATAAATTCCTCCATAACAAAGCTAGGACACATTTTCAGGCATGAAACGGTGGATAATAAATCATGGAAACTTATCTAAGGGAACACATAGAACAATCACATTCAGAATTTTAGTCTTCAGTTGTTTCTTCTTCAATATCGGATAAAACATCTGAAACTTTATTATTGTGAGGTAAACTGTAATAAAATGGTTTATAAGCATCTCCTAGTGCTGGAGGTTTCATTTCGAATAGAGATGCCAAGTTTGAATATTTTTGCTCTGTGATACTAATCGAGTCTTTGTACAAAAGTTGCAGTGAAGTTGCGGGGTGAGAACTACGACGTGTCTTCTTGTTGAAGTTGAGGAGTTTGAATTCACCATCGAAAGCTTCTTTGAACTCCATAATGAACGGCAGAGCTTTGTTGAAACGCATCCAACACATTTTCTGCCAGTTCACTGGTCCGCCACTCTCGTCTGTTTTTCTGATGGACATGTTCTGCTCGACGAATTTTTTGTAGTCAAAAATATCGTCTTGTTTGAGATCGTAGACAATATAAGGCCTATCTCCTTTACGCCTCGCACTACGAGCTATAGTTTTCCAATCTTCTGGCCATAACGCCTTACCAATTCTTTCGAATTCTCTACTGATTGCAGCATGCATAGAGTCACACTTCATCTCGCTATGACCACTCACCAGAAATTTTAAATCAATTCTTGTAATATTATCAATTTCTTGGACGGCTAGCAAACACATTGCTGCCATGAATTTATTCAAATTTTGGCCACCGCATCTATCACTATAGAAGGTTACTTGTTTCGTGGAAATCGGTAATGATTTGAGGTACTTGTATACGCAGCTTCCAATCTCACAGCTGCCCCTTTTACCTTCTGTTTCAGTCCACATGAAACAATCTCCTTGTTTATTCACAACATTGTATACTGTGAAATTATAGGTAGCAAGCCTGCGTTTGTAAAAGAGCGCATTGTTCGTTGGATCTGTTGGAACAAGTAATACTTGCTGCAGGTCAAAATTCGCGCAAATGAGCTCTCCATTAGATTCTTCGGCAATAGCTTTATCGCTCCTTTTTTCTGCTCTTGCCAGCTCCTTCATTCGTAAATGAGCATTATAAGTAGTTTCCGAAGATTTCTTTTCGGCAGCTGAAGCATTATGGAAAGACATACATATCCGACATTGATCCTTCCTTGGCCTGTGGAATCCCAAATTATAATTTTCGTTGAAACATTTTCTGTACATAGCTTCAGATGCCTTCTCTACATTTCTGTCATCGCACCAAGTGCAATATAGTTTATACATAAGAGAAATATTCAGGGTCGAGCAAAGGTACTGACGCTTTGTCCCCGATCTGCAATAATGGGATGGCACAGACGGAAAGCTCTCTATGTGTCTTTTCATATTTTCCAGAACGTCGATTGAAGTAACTTTCTTAACATGTTTACCTCTTTTGTCGACAGTAGTAGTGTTCTCTAATGTTCGTTTCTTCAAAGCTATGTCAACCACTCCTTTCTTGATGCCCAAAGTATTTATAAACATAGTTTTGCAAACTGATATTTTCTCACCGTTGATAGGTAGGAAAAAAGTAATCGACGCACTTCTCTTAGAATTTTCACCTGCAGTTTTCGTGCGGGTCTCTTTCTTGTTCGTATTACTTTGTATGAAGTCACGTTGTCGAGAATAGTTTGCCAAATTCCAGTATGATTTGAATATCTGTAGCCTTTCTTCATACTTTAACTTCGAAAAACATTTTTTTCTACAACTATCGGGACATGGAGGATTCATATTGACAGCCGGCACATTTCTATTTCTGGAAGAAACGTATTGTTCACCTCGAGCTCTTTTTTCTCTAGCTATATTCCTTTTCCATTTAGTAGGCGACAGTAGACGTTTTCTTGACTGTGAAGTAACTTGCGGAAAAGTTTGCATTCCTTCCAAGTTATTTTCACGCACCAAACTACGTAAACGACTCAAAGGTAATGAATCGCTATCGGAAGATGTCGATACGTCTTCTGGAACATATTCCGAATGGTCTGATGAAAACGGTCATTGTGGACTAGGTGGCAATTCTTCAACCGCAGGAATAAGATTGATATGATTTTCTACCAGTGGGGTGAGCAAATGATATTCTTTGCTAGGCCCTGGAGATTCAGAGAAAGCTTCGGAAATTCGAACCGTGTTACAGACGTTGCCTGTAATCAAAAATACAGTGGTAACTCGGAATTCTAGAGCTAAATAATATTGTATTGGGTATTCTCATGTACTTACTCAGGAGTGCTGAAGAACTGGTACCGAAGACTTCCTCCAGTTGACTCTTACTAGGCACACATTCCTTCAAAGAACTAGATACGTCCGCTCTTTGGTGTTCAACTACAATGAAACAAGACATTCAATACCGTTCCGCATAAATTCCGTAACTAAAATTCGATTCTCTGAACTTAACCTTACTTTTTTTTTCAATAAACGCATATAATTCGATCATATCACAGTAATAATTACACAATTTATTGATACTCACCGTTGTTCCTACAACGATCAACCATATATCGTGCTCTACTAGTCATAATGATTATAAATCAACTTCTTATTACCAAAAATTCACAACAGAATGATAAACAATACAATCGATTTGAATATAAAGGAACAACTGGAAGGGCTATAACTAGTTCAAATCAGGTTGCACAACTAGATATCTCAACTCATCCACTACTTGAATGAAATATTAGAATGCAACAATTAGACAACTTGAGATACCTAGTTGTTGAAATAATTCGATGTATAATTTTGAAGATGTCTATATTTGATACTTTCCATATCAGGAAGATGACATCAGAATTGAGTTATCTAGTTATTGCAATGGAAGTATCATTCGAATCAATAATGGCTGGTGGAGTTATCTGAAATCGGCCCATTTTCGAGTTATCTAGTTGTAGTTTTGAGGTAGCGAATTAATGTACACACCCTGTAGCTCATTTGATTGCCAAGTCACCAATTGTCACTGGGAACTGAAAAGTGTCGGGACAAATACGAATTTCAATACAAAAAAATCCATTTTTTTATGTTGAAAAAAAAATTCGATATTTTTTCTATACAGGGTGTCCCTAGACCAGTGGGACAGTTAAATATCTTCTGCACCAATAGGAATTTTCAAAATATTATAATTCCACATCATATCGCATCATGAGTGCTATCTTCAGGAATGACTATATTTTATACGAGGGGCGCAAGGAAGGCTCACAAAATCGAAAATCAATTTTTTCAAATGGAACACCCTGTATTCCATTGCATTTTCATATTCTCCTTGGAGAGCTGAATTCAACGACCTAGCACACTTGGGGTCTAGCGGGAATGATTTCCGAGATATAGGGTGTGGAAAATCGAGATTTTTCATTTTTGGGAATTTTTTGTGTCAAAACTATTCATTATTGGTCGAAATGGCTTACATGTCCATGTCTTAACTTTTGATTTACTATCCACTCGTATTTAAACTAAACAAATACAGGGTGGTGTAGAATTCTCAGTTTCAGTCGGAATTCCACACCACCCTGTATTTGTTTCAATTAAATACGACTAAATAGTAAATCAAAAGTTAAGATATGGACATGTGAGCCGTTTTGACCAATAATGAATAGTTTTGACACAAAAAATTCCCAAAAATGAAAAATCTCGATATTCCACACCCTATATCTCGGAAATCGTTCACGCTAGAGCCCAAGTGTGTTAGGTCGTTGAATTCAGCTCTTCAAGGAGATTATGAAAATGCAATAAAATACAGGGTGTTCCATTTGAAAAAATTGATGTTCGATTTTGTGAGCCTTTCTTGTGCCCCTCGTAGAAAATATAGTCATTCCTGAAGTTAGCACTCATAATGCGATATGATGTGGAATTATAATATTTCGAAAATTCCTATTGGTTCAGGAGATATTCAACTGTCCCACTGGTCTAGGGACACCCTGTATATACATACCTCTATTTCTCTTCTCCAAACCTTTTTCAATACAAATTGTCACTGACAAGCTAGTGAGTTTTTCTTTTAGGATCTCTGATAGGAAAATTCTTCAAACGCAGTGACATTTTGGGACAAATCATCTGATTTGTCCTAACTACACGTATATTGAAATAGTAGTCATATTTATATTATAAAGAGCCGAGGAGAGAAAATCCCAGAAAATCTGGAATAATGAACTAAAACTACATATTTGTTTTTATATTACTTTAATGATTTGTATCTGGAATTACCTGGTTGCCAAATGTTGAAACATAATACTGGAACTCCATAACTGATATTATATGCAACGTGGTATTCGAAAGTGACAGGTACTTCACTGGCATCCTCAGGCGCTTTGAGCAAAGTAGTCTGCTTTTTAACTATATATTTTCCGTTTTCCGAGTCCTACATGAACAGAGAATCACATGAAATAAATGAGGGTGGGGCCAAAAAATGGGAGGACGTACATTTTTGATTTTCATCACCCAACCATCCAAAATTGCGTCCGAGATTGAAACTATATCGTGAATACATTTACCAAAATATTCAACTGATAGGTGGTCCATTTTCAGTCCTGAAAAAAAGATTCCCAATGAACAAGAGAAAATCAAAAATTACCCTCGTTGAGTCGCTTCATTTCATCCGAAAAGTCAAGTATGGCCACGTTCATACCGTGTCTTGGTAAAGTTACCAGACTAAAAAATACTATGATGACCAAGACGGTATATAAACTCTTTGGTCTACGTTTGTATAGCCTTGACTTGAGTTGAGTGCAACTGTCAGTTGTTTTATGATGCTCCAAAACAATTCCTCATTTAATTTCAGCTAATTTTGAAGCTTGCTAAATGGTATTATTACTTATATTTATGCATTTAAGTAGAGTTCCAAAAATTAACGTCAAAATAATAATCGAATCGAAACATAGTTGGTAACGTTAGTTAACTGATGTAATTTGGTCTGAATTTGCTCAGATCAGGATCACCTTGGTCAGCATACCAAATATCCATAACTTCCAAAAGGTATAAACGTGTATTCGTTGTGGCAAATCATAACAAGAACAAACCATGGATGCGAAGACAAACTCAATAATGGTTCATCAAAAAGTAAATTGCAACAAAACAAGTTCATTAACTATCCTACAATATAAGTCAGAAAAACTAGAATGAAACAGAACAGAATCACAGAAGGGTTCCATAAAAATCTCAGGCATCAAGAAAACAGTGTTTCAGGACAAAGACAATTCACAGCAAAATTTATTTGTTCTGCAACCGATACAAAAGTCGTCCATTTTAATACAAAAATTAGCTCTTGAATTGACGTTTCTATTACTGACACAAGAATAGGTATATTGCTAGGCAACACATTTAGTTCCTAGCAGCTAAAATCATCAAGAATAAATAACATTGCTATGATGGGCAATTTGGGTAGGGACGCATACCTGATTTGTTTCCGATTTGGCAGATTTGGCATTTCATATACATATATATAAATACACCTTATTATAGTCGAGTTTTTTTTTATGTTCTGGTTCCCACGAAAATGGATATCCTGTAATATTCAGAGAACATCGTGAGAGCCAAGGAGAATAAGGTAGGAATTGGTGTTCTTCTTGAATTTCTGGAGGTTATATGCCTCGGGGAACACCTTCTTTGGCAATGTGTTCCAGAGCCTCGCTGTTCGTATTTTTGTTTTGATCAAGAAAGCCTTCAAGATTCACAAACTTGCTTGATCTGTATTTCATTCGTTATTCTCGGGATGGATAACTTATTTTTGAATAATCACAGCCAGCAATAGTTTTTTGTCTCAAACAACGATATTGTTTACCTCCATTTGATTATCAAGCCAAACAGTGGAGTATGGAGATAAATAAATATTCGCTATTATTATTGTTGATATGCTCACTAACCTAACATTTTCCACGTCTTGTTCCTATACCAGGCACTGGCGCGGTATTTGCCATTAGAGCACCTGGTCCATTCACAAATGGGTATGTCACTCTGTGTTTGTATTTATATTGAAACTTCAATTCGAACATCCTTGAAAATTGAATAAACCTGCTGTTACTGCAGGTAGAATATTCTTACTACAAGGATTATTTGTTGCATTGCATAGATATGGCACGGCATTGGTGGTTACTTCACATATTTATTTGAGTTTATATTGTTTCGGTGTTTCGGTTGCAGAAAAAATAGCATGTTTCATTCGGATCAAAAAAACGCTCCGCCTCGCAAATGCAAAATTCGCTTGTCAAACATAGTGTCACTTTTCATCCTAAGAAAACAATCTACTATTTGGAAGCTAGGTATATGAAATAACGAAGAACATGCCATAGACGTAGAAGGAGAAGAATGGGAAGCCATAGATATGAGGCCTGTTCGTTTGAATTGCTGGACTTGCTGAAGTTGATTTTTTCCCATAGTTGTCTGTCTCTGTTCATGGAATTATGTAAACAGAGAAAGTCATAGAAAGAAATCGGTAAAACTGATCTTTCTTGCGATGGTTTTTTTTTCGAATTTTTCTTCTGGTACTCATTCGTATTTTTGTCTGAAAAACACGAATTTGATAATGAAAATGTGAAAAAAACAATATATATCGGGATATTTCAAGAAAAAGTTCGAAATTTCGCCTTCTGTTTCCCCCTGGTGTTGCTGGATGCATTTACAGCTATACTTGCTCTTCTTATTTTGTCATTGGACACTACATACTCATGATGTACTTCAATGACACATTTTTATATCGAAAATTCAACAGGAAATATAATTTTAAGGGAGACTTTTTCATAGTTAGTGAACAATCATACCAGACGACGGACATTTTCAATCAATAGTCAATCCAAATACGAGATGGCAAATGTTAACAGATTGCTTTTGAATGACATTACACACGCCATTATTTTGAATGATATTCTTCCTCCTTTCCACAACTAAATATGGAAAATCATATTTCTAGTTGCCTCATATAATAGAAAAAATGTGTCCTTGAAGTACATTGTGATATATAAATTGTCCAATGATGAAAAAAGGAGGACAACTTGTTCAAAATGCGATCCAAAAGACAGGCGGAAAATAAGGTGAAATTTGTAAGTTTATAGTGAAATCCTAATAAATAATGGTTTCTTCACATTTTCATTATCAAATTCGTGTTTTTTCAGACAAAAATTTTCGAAAAAAAAAAACCATCGCATGATAAGTGCAGTTTTACCAAAAAATCAAGTTCAGCTGCTAGAGCAAGCACAAACAAACAGGTCTATGCATTTTCTTGTTTATTTTGAATTATGATGGTAATTCATTATTTAATGAGTAAATGAATGATCTCCAAATGGGTCCCATACACGTCCCATATCGAAATCGGCCTATACGTCACTAACCGTACATTTATTCCCAGTCAATGATCTCTTCTGATTTGAATAAAAGAGGCATTAACGTGGCACAAAGGCGCAAATATAAAGGACCGAAAATCCCGACTTATTTTTATGAAGTTTCAAATTTATTCGTCAATAAACGTTAAGCACGCCTCCGTAGTCTAGACAAAAATGCAGTTTCGACGAACAAAGATGGGGAATGATTCATTGCTGCAACTTTTTTATTGCTATTTACAGGACATTCCGAAAGTACGCCTACTCGAAAAGTCACTGGGTTGGAAGAGGACGAATTCGCAATGGAGAATGAAGATTGAAGATACCTACAATGAAATCCACTGGCGCACCCAGGGGGTGGGCTTTAGGGCTCGAGCCCCCCCCAAGACAAAGTGTCAGAAAAATATTTTTCGCAAATATCAGTGTCGTTCGTAACAGAGTAATAATCAACCAAATAATTTTGGGATTGAAATAACGGTACCCAGAACTGTGTCTAGACAAAAGCATAGATCCAATATAACTACTAATACCCCTGAAGAATACTACAAAATCACAATTTATTTACAATTATTAGATGCTCTCATTATGAATATGAAGGAACGATTTTCAATACACAAAGAAATTATTAAGACATTCAAAGTATTATTACGAGATCCAAATGATATAGAACAAAATCTCAATGATTTTTTAAAACTACATGCTTTTTATTTTAAAAATGGATATCCTTTTTTTGAAGATGTGATGATATCTACTGAATCCATTTTGATAAGCGAATTCCGTTTATGGAATTATAAGTTCAAGGAAATCGATACCCGGCCACTAAATGCCATGCAATGCTACATAGTTTGTGATCAAACTTTATATCCTAATATAAATATACTCCTAAAAATTTTTGTAACACTTCCCATAACTACCAGTACGGCTGAAAGGTCATTCTCATCATTGAGAACATTGAAAACTTACTTAAGAAGTAATACTGCGCAAAACCGGCTGAATGGTCTGGCATCACTTTTTATTCATAAAGATATATCGGTGTCTCCTGAGGAAATATTAGATAATATGACTTCTAAAAGAAGGAAACTAGATTTTTAAGAATTGTTGATTTTGCACAAAATGTTTTTACCTTCAGAATGATTTTTTAATAGAAATTACATATGTATCATTCTGTTTATCATTGTTTTTCATTTTCCCAGAATTGAACCCTAATTTATATATTTTACTATTTTCATTGCCTTCTATGAGCCCCCCCCAAGAAAAATTCCTGAGTGCGCCAGTGATGAAATCAATCTCATTAACGACAATGTTTCTGGGAACTTATAGTCGACGCTCCTCAGGACATAGGCGTAGCCAGGGATGGACAGGGGTATCACCTCGGGTATCACACACAGGAAAAATATCAATGACAGTATTCTGCATGATAGGTAATATTCATATTCAGGACAAAATTCATACAGTCTACCCCACCCAAACTATACTTTATTTTGAGCAAACTCACGGGGACATGTTTCGAAGCTTTAAAGCTTCGTCTTCAGCGTTTTTATTACATAGGAGCACCAAAGTGAGAAAAACGAAGAACAATGTCAGACAAACCCCTCAACAACGATAGGTCTAATAAACTCACCTCACATGTTCACATATTTAGATTATTGAAAAATGTTTTGAAAAATGATAATAAAGCTAAATGAGGTCGCAATTGATGCGGAACCCCTTTGTTAGGGAACTTTGAATTTCATAATTATAATAGGTAGGTACCTACGATTCAGATCAAAATTGAAGAAGTATCATCTGTTCATGCCGAACTCTTAAAAAGACAAGAAAAATGAGATATCCTATTACCTTCACTCCACTGTAAGATTTATCGCCTCAGATGGTAATATTTATATACATAAATGAAAGAAAAGACTCTAAGTCGGTCGACCACACTTTATATCAAAAATTTTAAATTAGTAAGTGACCGGTTTCGGCACAACGGCCATCATCATACTGAAACGACCTAAAATACATTACGAATGTAAAGGAAAAACATGTCCTGGAATAATGTTCCCATATTTGGAGTGCAGCACCCAAACATACCCTGAAACTGTTGGATTCTGTCCAAAAAAGGGCAATTCGTCTCGTGGGTGATGCCTTGCTCACAAACTGACTCACTTCTCTGGAACACCGTAGAAAAGTTGGCGATCTGGCTCTATTTTATAGATATTTTCTTAGATGCTGCTCTT